AGTCTCACTCTGTTGTCAAGGCTGTAATATAGTAGTGCAGTTGTGGCTCACTGCAGACTTGACCTCCCAGGCTCAGTGAATCTTCCTACTTCAGCCTCCCACTAAGTAGCTGGGACTACAAGCACAGGTAACCATGCCTGGCTAATTTTTTTAATGGTTTTTATAGAGTTGGGGGTCTCACTAAATCAGCCAGGCTGATCTCAAACTCCTGGGCTCAGCAGTCCTCCTGCCTCAGCCTCCCAAAATGCTGGGATTACGGGCATTAACCACCATACCCACCTCAGTCTTTAATTAGACTTTATTTTCCACAGAGCTCTGCTTCAATCTTAATTGAGCAACTAGGCTTTAGTAGTTTTGGAACTCACTCACTATGTGGTTAATATACATCATCTATGGAGCGTATTCCCTGTGAAATTATTTTCTTAATTCTCCGCCTCTATACTTTGTGAACCTAAGAAAATAAATTATCTTCACATGGCAATGAACCATGTTGATGCAGGATTTTTTTCTCCTTAGCTCAGCGAGATCCGGTTCTTGCCTCAAGACCAGGAATAATTAAGTTTGTGGACACTTGAAGAGTGAGTAGAGTAGAATTTATTAAGTGAAAGGACAGCTCTCAGCAAAGAGAGGGGTCCTGAAAGCAGGTTCCCAGTTGCCTGCTTCACAGCTGAATACAAGAGCTTTTACATACAAGTTAAGGGGCTGCGTTCCCTATTTGTGTAAGGTACAAATTCCTGGTGGCTCCACCCCATTCTCCCAGTATGCATTTGGGCCCACTGTGGGCATGTTTAGGCAAGATCCTGTGTAAGTGCCCTTATCTGTACGAAACATGGATGGGAGGTTCTCTAGAGACCCTTCCCTTACTGCCTGCCTAAAGCAAGGTGGCTAACTCCGTTCAATGTAATTCACGAAATCATACTTTTATCTTTTTATTTTGAACCATACAAAACACAGAGCCAGTTTCTACTGGTCACTCTTTCCACAGCTTCTTCAATAAACCTTATTTTGATATATAAAACTAAATGTGAATAGCTGATACAGATCAGAATCGGGCTATATAATAGAATTCATTTAACTTGGATTCCTCAAATCAGTCTAGCCTTGTAGGTACTCAAAAATTTTTGCCTGTTTTATTTTTGGACTAGTCATGGAGAAAGAAAGGTGAACATTGGAGCCCAGCTATCTCTTTCTATTTTGCTGATTTCCTTATCTCTGTGCTTTTTAATAAGGTAACATACAAAATGCAACACACTGTTTTACAAAACTCTGTAATCATAAGGCTTAGAACAACTATGGACCTCTCAAAAAGTCTACAGCAATTTGCATCTAGCACATAAATGTTAGGAGAGCAGGACTGATCATGAGGTTTCTGAAACATAGCTGGTTCTCTGGAGTTAGAGGATTGTTTTAACTATTCAACAATCAACCATTTATTGAGCACCTCTTATGTACCAGACAGTCCTCTTGAGATCTGAGGAATTAAGCAAATGATAATGCTCAGCAAAATACCTAACCACTGCCTCATGTCAAACTAAAAGGTTTACCACAAATAGACCACAGAACAGAATGTAGCACAAACGACCAGAGCTGAATCTAAATGAATGCAGCAAAACTGGGAAATGGAGGGAAGCAATCTGGGATTTTACACAAAGAATAGTTCTGATGCAAAATCTTTTACAGTGGCAAATGGTTTCCATGGTAAACTGTGAATGATACATAATTCGGGGTTGAACTTAAAGGCCAGATGTGGTGGCTCATGCCTGTAATCCCAGCATTTTGGGAGGCCAAAGCAGGAGGATCAATTGGTGATATAGGAGTTCAGTTGAAATCACTTAGGCAGATAGTAAGGGTATGGGAGCCCTTGGTAAGGCTTTTTCTTTAATGAAAAGCAGCCTCAAATCACTTACTAACAAAAAGCAGCCTGTAAAGTCGAGCTGTAGACATAGACAAGCCAGCTGGGAGCTTGCACTGGTGAATGCCAGCAGGAACTAGGGACTAGACATGTTCAGGATGGCAGCTCCATCTTTCCTTCTCTTTGTCAGCCATGTGTACAGTAAGAAGCAATCAACTGGAAAGCCCATTTGCATAATAAGATTAGGGTAGAGTAACCAGCCTTCCTTCCCCCTCCCTCACCTACCACATATTATGTGGACGTCATACCTGATGGAACCAATCTGTGAGCCCTATATAAATTAGACACCACCTTCTCCAACCTGCCTATAAAATCTGCTGGGTCCACCGCCTCACCCCCTCTTTGGACATCTCTCTCTTTCCTGTGGAGTTGCTCTCCTCTCTCCTTTCTTCTGTCTATTAAATAACTTTCCACTCCTTAACCCATGTGTCCGAGTCCCAAATTCTTTCTTGGCACACAACAACAAAACCCATAGTATATACCCCAGACAGCGTAGGCATATCATTAGAGCCAGGGAGTTCAAGACCAGCCTGGACAACATAGTGAGACCCCCCAACTCTACAAAAAAATTAAAATTAAAATTACCTGGGCATGGTGGTGCATGCCTGTAGTCCTAGTTACTCAGGAGGGTGAGGCAGGAGCATAGCTTGAGCCCAGGAGTTCAAGGCTACAGTAAACTGTAATCACACCACTCACTGCACACCAGCCTGGGCAACAGAGCAAGATTCTGCTTCTAACCAAAAGAGAGAAAAAAAGAAAGAGAAAGAGAGAGAGAGAGAGAGAAAAAAAAAAAGCAACATTGAGTTTAAAGATCCATATATATAAAACACTACATCCTCACATTCTTCTTTTTCTTTTTTGAGTTGAGTTTCCCTCCTGTTGCCCAGGCTGGAGTACAGCGGTGCCATCTCTCTCTGCTCACGCAGCCTCTGCCTCCCAGGTTCAAGCGATTATCCTACCTCAGCATCCCAAGTAGCTGGGATTAACAGGCATGAGCCACCATGTACAGCTATTTTTGTATTTTTAGCATAGATGGGGTTTCACCATGTTGGCCAGGCTGGTCTTGAACTTAAGTGAGCCACCTGCCTCAGCCTCCCAAATGCAGGGATTACAGGGGTGAGCCATTGCACCTGGCCACCCTCACATTCTTCATTTGTGAAATGAAACATAAATATTCC